TTTTTTTTTTTTTTTTTTACTCTTTTTATAATCGAAAATCTATCTAAAACAATTTCTGCCCATATACTTTATTTTCCTCACACCCTATTCATAAAATTACATAATAGATGTTGTTATATTTTATGCAAAAAGATCGATACATATAGTGGTGGAGTCACATATATTTGAGGAGTATTGATCGACCGACATCCTTCATTGAAAAATCATATTGTAGTTAAGTAAGAATATTTTCTCATGTATATTGACACTCATGATTGACTTCTATGTGATTTTACTTCTTTATATTTTGACACCCCTTAATTACTTGAAGTTTTGGCTCCACCACTTGATACACGTCATTGTCTATATATGCCTCGATAAAACATATTTTCATCGACAAAAGCGGAAGGGATTCATCTGAATCTCGGAAAATCACATTTTATATCTATAAGGTTGAATTTTCTTATTTATATATAGTAAATGATGAAACATTTTGGTAAAAATACTATTTGGCGCTATGGATAGTCGTTCATCTCAAATCAATAAAAACATATAATATGTGTTTATATGTAGAATTCTTTCACTTAATATATAGTTAATTAAATATATTTTTATTTTAATAAATTATTTAATTATAATACTTTAATATAATTTGACGTAAATTAATAATTTTTTACCATATGGGATGTATTGCTAAGCTAGCTGGCGTAGTCATATGCAAGTATAAGACACATATTGTGGCTTTTTTGCGCTATTCAAGGCTATGATTTAGTTAGATATAGTGCTTAAAAGTCTAGGTTAATTAATTTTATTTTTTTTATTGTTATACTAACTAGACCAATTAAAGTAAAATCACCAGGTTTATAGTCTAGTAATATAAGCGAGAGTTTAATAAACAGTGACCCGGCCAGTCACCCACCAACACATTAAATTAGTAGGGTGTTGCTACTCACTTTGATTTTCATAAGAGGCAAAGTTAGAAGTTCAGATATGAATTCAATCGAATCTAATAACTTCTGTTCATCGTATATACACAACAAAATTTAAATAATTTTATTATTAGCATATGTAGTCATTGTTCCAAAATTCAAAATTCAACAACTTAAATTAATTAAGTCAGTGAATTTTGAATGTCGAATTGATTAAAAAAAATTAAATTATATGTGTTTGAGATTGAATAGCCGCAAATGCATGGACAGGTCAAAACTTACAAGTCCAATGAAACATTTCATGAGGACCTCACGTTTATTATAAATTCTGACCAGACTTATAATGCAAATTAAATTAGCTTATATAAAATCATTTTACTATATTAATTATGGGGTATACAAATTTAATTTTCTAGAGAAAATGTATTTAAAAATTTCTGATCAATCGAATATTAAAAATGTGTCACTCCAGCTTAAGATAAAAAGTCTCACATCGATAAAATACATGAGATATGTTGAGTATATAAGTAAAGTCTAGGCCTAAAACAGACAATATCACGTACTAGCTGGATATGATAAGAAAATACAGGTGTAACATTCTTGTACATGAATTATAGTTTGGTGACTAATTCTTCTCTCTTGAATTTTTGTGTCTGGTTTCTGTGGTTCACTAAAGAGTAAACATTTTATTAAGTTTACCTTGAAAATAGATTACTTGTTTTTTCTTGAGTTTTTTATTTTTAAACATTACTACAGTATTTTTCATTTATTATTTGTAAGTTTGTGAAAATAGACAGATTCATGTCACTGTCTATATATGCAAACCTAGTGGCTAATTTGTTAATTAATGTGGTCCAATATGATACAAGGCACATGGTTATGATTTAGCTATATATATAGTCCTTAATTATTAGGTGAAAATCATAATCTTTATAATCTAGTTTAAAAACATATTATATTCAGGGCGGAGCTAGTAGGAGGAATCCAGGTGGTTCATTCGAACACCCTTCTCCAAAAGATACAGTATTTATACATGACCTACAAAGCAATTTTTATGTATAAATTGTAAATGTTGAAGTTCCTTCGACTTCTTCATAGTTTGAAAGTCTTAATAAAAATTCTGACTCCACTACTGATCATATCGATCAACTCACGATGGTTAAATAAATATTGGTTAAGTGAGAGGCAGTATATATGCAAACACATGTTATATGCATCTATTGATTCGATGTAAATATATACCGTTAAAAGTTAGTAAATAATTCACATGATATTAAGTTGACATATACATCCAATCCACGAATTAATTTAATTTATAAATAATATCGTTATAGTAAAGGTCGCAATAAGTATTAAGTACCATATAAATTTCATTCCTTTTATAGACTAAACAAAACTTATGAAACATTTGATGAGGACCTCATATTATTTCTATTACAAAAATAAAATAAAGTCTTACCATCTCCCAACCAGAAATACTAAAAACACTACTTATAATGTTTTCAATTATTTGTATGGTAGTTTTTCAATTATTTGTATGGTAGTTATTAAATTCAGTACAACATATTATATAGTTGGTTTGCAAGTGACATTTAATATATGGTTCCAAATTACTGCAGCTTAGAAGACTTTTTGAGTTCAACATATAATGTGAACATTTGATGAAAATAGCATATTTTTAAGTTTTTGAATTGTGACCTCTACATTTATTTACTCCACCGTTTATTTTTACTTGTTCAATTTAAAGTTTTAAGGGATAATTTATTACGTAAAATTGTCATTCTATTCATTGTTTCTTGACGAGTGTGACAAATCAATATTGGACAAGTAAAAATAGACGGAGGGAGTATTTAATAGCTTGAGATCTACCGAATTCATTAATTTTACATAAGGGTCATCTTCAAGTAGGTAATTAATTAATTGAATCGGTCTTAATTTTAATGTCTTTTATATATCTTCTTCTCATTTACATAAGAAATACTTTTGCAATATATCTTTTTACATAAATATTTAGTAAGATTACATACTTTCATATGATAGAGCTCATACAATCCGATCCTTTTTTTTATAGAATCAGCTTATAATATAAACTTAGTGTATTGAATTATTTTTTCTTTTATGTTTCTTCCCTTAATTAAATGAGCATCTATGATATGATCCTAAACAAGTTGTGCATGGCTCTAATTTAATTTTATTGTATAACGTCATGACAAAATATGGATAAGCATCTACGGCTAACGTATATTATTGATGGGATAAGCAAATTAAATTAGCTTATCTTAAAATCATTTTATCATAAATCTATGACATAATCATGACGTCAGTCTATTATCATCAATTTTGTACATTGAAATATGAAACTATGCTAGAAGGAAATTTAATGATTTTTTAAAAAACAATTTAGATTAAATAATTACATGGTTTCATTAAAAAGAATTTGTTAAAAAAGAGAGGATTTATTTCACTTTAAAAAATAGTCTTCAAAATTTAATTAGGTGAGAAGATAAAAGAGTGTCTGGTTGTGAAGACCCTTTTGACTTCCTTTTAATTATGAACAACATAATTATATACCTAATCTTAACCCCACTAATTGGAATCAATAAATTGATGTACTATTCATTCGTCCATTTTTACTTGGCTAATATTTACTTGACACGCTCTTACAAAGTATAAATAAAATGACAATTTTATTATATCACTATACCTTTAAAATATACAATATTTTGGAAAATGCATTAGGAAATGATTATAGGTTATAATAAAGATAAATTAAGAACTAAATAATAAATTATTTCTTAATTTCTAAACTGAACAAATAAAAAGGACATTATTTTTAATATAATAAACAAGTAAAAATGGATAGAGAAAGTACTAACAAATTTAATAGGGTCTCCTATAACACATCCAATATCTTGTTCTTATATAATAGTATTCGAGCAATCTTGCAATTTGCGCACACTTCAAATATGGTTAAAATCTGTATGTATCGAATGTTTACATCTAACTAATGAATGCGTAACGTGTTTGAACATACGGTTGGAAAATTCTTACTAGAATCATGAAACTCAAAACATCACTCACTTAATACAAGAACTATCAAATTGAAGACAACTAAACTGATATCATGTTGTAGCCCAGGCACTGTGATGGTTTTTATATTCTTGATCTTCTGTTCCCCTTATATAACAAGCTGATATTCTTGGCAGCTATCTTTGCGTGACCTTGAACCAATTATCCTTGTTTAGACGTGTGGCAGGTGACGATCAATATTCTATACTGGCTTAGTTCTAAGCGCAGCGTTTAGGTCATCTATAAATCATTTATGTCTTCAATTCCAACAGAAATTTGAACTACATCCATCCTCAGTAAGATCTCTAGCATCACGTACTGCAACAGGTATAGCCGCATGGGACATGAAACATAGCAGACTTATGAGTGACTCGACACTTCGTGCAAAATTCGGGACCAGAAATGAGATTGATGATATTTGATCTTTAATATTGGATTAAGAGGATTAGAGTATACTCACCGAAACTGACTGAAATGTTGAATTATTTGGTGACCTCAACTACATGACCCGGTCAGAGAACTCAATTCTGATCCTGAAAACACCAGCATGGAATGTCAAATGCCAATGGAAATTAAAGGTAAACCAAGAATACTAAAAGTAGGTTTAACATACCTTCGAATAGGGAAAATATCTGTCAGGATGGCCGGGAAAACCAGCACAGTTAACCATCTTCACTCAAGGAGCAATTTTTTGTGCATTTTCTTGCCATCTTGTGGAAACACACAATGTCCATATATGATACAACTTTGAATATTATGATTTGTCAGACAAGCACTCACCAGTAAAAAGTATAAATGTGAGGAAACAACAACTCCGAATTCAAGCTTTCAATCAAGCAAAAAGAAAAAGGTGGCAAGAAAATTCTTAAATTGGGAGCAAATATATTATAAAAAGTCATTGGATACACGGACTTTAAGAAATTAATACAGGACGAATGGAGCTCTAAGCTCGTTTGGTGTGAGAGATTAAAAAAAAATAGTGATGGGATAAAAAAAATTCATGTTGTTTGGTTGCCATGTTTGGGATAACTTATCCAACCATTTATATCATAGTGATGGGATAAGTTATCCCATATACATGGTGGGATAAGTTATCCCATATACATGGTGGGATAAGTTATCCCATATACATGGTGGGATAAGTTATCCCATATACATGGTGGGATAAGTTATCCCATATACATGGTGGGATAAGTTATCCCATATACATGGTGGGATAAGTTATCCCATATACATGGTGGGATAAGTTATCCCATATACATGGTGGGATAAGTTATCCCATATACATGGTGGGATAAGTTATCCCATATACATGGTGGGATAAGTTATCCCATATACATGGTGGGATAAGTTATCCCATATACATGGTGGGATAAGTTATCCCAGGATAACTTATCTTGGGATAACTTGTTTCCAACCAAATGACCCCTACAAAGTATTAAAGAAAGTCATATATTTATTTATTTTTGAAACAGAAGGAAGTCATATATTTATAAAGGTACTTGTTTGTCCTCGCCCACAGTTGAAGATTTCTGTGTTGAATTTCTTAATTCAAACCCATCTTGTGATTCATCACCACAAGATGAGTAGGATTTCCAACTCGTCTTACTGGAAGCTCCAAGACAAGTAGGATTTCCAACTCGTCTTGTGATTCATTGCCACGCACAGACGACCAATTATGTACCTGGAAGGAGGTTTCCAGGTCTAGCATGATTACCAAACCTTTGAAAGATAATCAATTCAAAGAACCTACAGAATGAATACAATTATCACACCTTCTGGAAGGAGATTGTGGGCACCACCAGACAATTCCTTCCGACTAACCAAAACCATGACATTGGGTAATGGCTTAGTCAATTGCTCTGAGAGAGGATCAACTTATGTCAACCAACCTCTTGAGAGCTAGACGTTGTTCATGGTGCAACCAAAAAGAATCGACAATCAAGTCACTCTCACAGCTACGGTAAACAAAATGGATCTAGCAAGTAATAACAACACCGAAGACCAAAATGCAAGCAAAATTTAATACCTATTGCTTTTCTACACACGACACCATCATTATAATCCTTCTTAAACAAAGCCAGCAATCAAATGGGGCTAAGCCTGCACTTTCTGCATTCTGAAGTTAGTACACGTTCTTTGCCAAGCTGATTTTTACAAGTCAATATATATAATTTGAATATCAGGTCGAGTAAGTGAGCTAATCTTAAACTTCACATTCGGTAAAAGGAGCAGGCACTGTCTTTAGAAAAAGTAAGTTATGCCTGCATAAGGGGAACTTATCATATGCAGCTTCAGCCTAGTAGAAGGACTGCAATTTAGACTTTCACAACCCCCAGGTTACAAATGTCAAATGTGTGACGTCCCAACTTCAGACAGGCAATACATTAACTCGATACCACAATATCTAAACAGATCCGTTGACAAAATGTGAATTTACTTGCTTGTATATGTTGGGTTAAAATTCCTGAGAATCTTCAGGTGATTGAATCTATTTAGAGAAATGACCTAACAAGAAGATTACATAATTTGCCACCTTTAAAAAGATATAGAATATGTTTTAGAATAACATTAGCACGTACTCTATCTGTTTCCAAGTAAATATGAACTTTGCACTCCAAACTACAATTGTTTAGATATTTCTATAGTTCCATTGAGGTAATAATTTCCCGATAAACCAGTTATGCAACAGATATTTAGTAATTGAGACTTCAGGTAATTGAATCTACTAAAGGAGCTTTTTTTTTTGACACTTTAAAGGAGCTTATTACTAAGAGGTGGTTTTTCTTTTTTCGTTCAATCAGGGTAATCTGATAGTTTTGTCCATGAAAGCAACTCAAGGGCACCAAGGATGATGAGAAATCATGCGATAAGCGTAAATTAATCCATGAAACCAAATAAAGAGGAAAAACCCTTTCCCTTGTGACAACAAGTACACCCTCCATCAGATCACTATGGGCAAATATAAACTTAGCTGCTGAATGCATCACAATATCTGAAAATAACAGACCATTTAAGGTAACCAGCACGGCAGCACCTTGAGAATTTTACCAGAACTAAAAGTATCTGCAGACCTGCTCCAAGGTCCAAACGATGGGATGGTATATGGGACATAATACTGTTATCTACCAGTACAAGAGACCCATGTGAGCGAGCCAACTCAGCAATTTTCTGAAAAAGATCAGAGAGCAGAAAAACATAAAAGAAAAGGAAGTAATTATCTGTTGAAATTTAATAACAACATACCCAGTGAAATTCCATGAGTAGGATCTGGGGAGGGTAGAGTGTACCCAGACCTTACCCCTACCTCGTGGAGGTAGAGACGAAACGAAAATGAATGGAGATGCGGGGGATTGAACCCCGTGCCTCTCGCATGCAAAGCGAGCGCTCTACCATTTGAGCTACATCCCCTGTTATCTATTGAAAATTAATAGACTTCAACATATCAGCAGCCACGAAAACACAAACAATATTTTCAAATCCAAGAGAAATGACACTTGCTGCCAAATGAGCAATAACGAGTAGTCTCCCACATATACATATTCTTGTCTCCCAATTTGTACTCCAACATAATTATTACCAAATCCACTGAAGAACAACACATGCTGTAGAAAGGAACAAAATAGCAAAATTTCCATTAGATTTATCAAGCAGTGTCATTTCCTAAGTAAATAGCAAAGTGTTACAACCCTTGCTAAATATTCCATCTCAATCACATAACATACAACTATATGCACATAGTTTGGTACTTGTATTATAAGAATCGTTAAAGAAATTGAACATAATCTAAAGCAGAAGACTAGATGCACAAAGTATTTTAAAAATAGAAAATCAATGAAAAAACAAAAATAGAAAAGAAAAGGGAGAAAAAGAAAAACAAGCCTAGGGCTCGGGGTATGTAGGCCGGCGACATTTGAAACTGACGAGAGGCAAGGTTGAGAGCTAAGACAGAAAGAGAACATCAACGATAAAGAAAAATCAAAACTAAAGGAGAAGAGATTAAGATAGAGTTAGGGAGAGATGATTCGGATTACCTGGTGAAAAAAGCCGGTGACAGAGAAGGCATTGCCAATGATTGGATATTAATCATCTTGAGAACTCCTCTTTTTGATGCCATACCAGAAGAGTCTTCCTCTTCTCCAAAATTCATAGAATCTCTGTGAGAAGGTTTTTCGTACCACTTGTTGATCAGGCGTCATGTTGTTTCCACCATTTAAGCTTCCATGGGCTTTCTTCGCCAATGCTGACGAGTCATCCACCGCATCAAACAAGCTTACTTGTCTTTCCTCTTCCGTATCATTCCTATCCAGAATATCTAAAATCCACCACAAATCCGAAATCCCCAATGAAACCATTGCAGGTACACTGAAAAATCGGAAAACAGGTGATAGGATTTCAGGTTTACAAGGAGAGAAATGAAGAGAGGGAGGGAAGGTAAAATTAGGAAAAATTCACTTTCAATAATTTGCATTCAGTAGCAACTTTTTGTGGCTATTCTCTTCAATGACCAGTGAAAAGGTCTTTATTCCCAGCTAATCTCCAAATGCCGCTAATAGTTGAACAAAAGGAAAGTTACCGATATTCAATTAATTGCCACTAAAGGGCGTTTCTTCTGGTAGTGATAACAGATGGTATCGTGGTATCCTGTTTTGGAAATGGATAACCACTTTTTTTATCTCCGAGTTTGCAGTAGGCCAAGTTATAATTACCACCATAGATGGCAACAACCATAGAGTTAACTTTGCTTGAAGATAGGACAACTTTGAATAAAAGACGAGCGTTGACCAGATCCGCCGAAAGGAATAAAGTCACATCATGGGATTCAAGCGCATTTTCAGTTTCAAGCTTCTTTGCACAATATTTCTCACATCAGGGAACTTATACCTCGGTGGAAGGGTGATTTCACCCCTAGTGATTGGGTTAAACAGATTGTAGGTGTCCTTAATAGAAAGTAGAAACTAACCCTCCGTGGGACGAACCGCGAAACTCCTTACCAAGGACCTTTGGGACCTCAAGGTAGTGAACTACTCTTTTTTCATGTATGCTAATAAGATGCTTCTCAAGTTTTTGCGTTTGTATTATTGTCACGAGGCAGCAGCAACCATGGCTGAACTCCCTTAATACTCGAAATAGTAGGTAACACTGACCTCCATGAATTACAAACACATGTGAACTGGACTGGATCAGTGTATGTAGCAAGAGAATGAGCTATTAACCTCAACAAATCCTGTGGAAGCTCCGACCAACCAGCCATTTATAACCTGATACATAAATAGGGAATGTGATATGTAATATTAGAGCAAAACAATAATCATACAACTTTCACAGTATCACACAGACTTAGTATAATAGCCAAAAGAGATAATCACCAAGTACACATGTTGTTTGTTACAAATCAAGAACTAATGTATCTATCTTAATCTTGTTTTAGAACATCAAGATATAGCTTTAGAGAAGTAGTTAATTCTAAGAAAATATTGCTACATGTAGTAAATGTTCCTTTTACACCACCAATTATTCACCAAACTTACAAGGTTGATTCTAGCTCATTGAAGTGCAACACCAAATCATAGAAGTAAACATAAACAATGGAGGAAATAGGAATTCATACAAGAAGATTATACATAAAGTGACAACTTCTACTAATGTCTTGACTATATAAGGAAATAATGCATTTCTTAAAATATAAATTGTAACTTTGTGAAACGTATAGGAATTTATTAGCTTATAAGAAATTTTTTGTTGAACACTTGAAATTAATTTTAGGTTGAAATAAAAAGGTGATGATATGAAAAGAAGATTTAATAAATTACTATGTCACTACACAGTAATCAGTACATATATCTATCTACCTTGTTGGTTCAGATTTTTCCACCATACGTTTGTTCTCTTTTTTGCAGTTTGTGATAGTTTTATATTCCATTTTAAACTTAATATTTCTAAATCAACTAATTTTGTATCAATCGAAAGAAATATTTGAATGAATTAATCCTTAAAATAAATATATAGCTCTGCATATAAAAAGTTCAAAGAGTAAATTTAGAAAAAAAATCATAAATTTTATTTAGATTTTTTATAATATCTTATTAAGCTTTGGCTTTAGGACATTAATTTTATTGAGCCACCCCTACATCAATACGGGGATTAGTTAGGTAGTTACCTATAGATTAGTCACTGCATCTTCTACCGTGCATAAATAATACATAAATTTCCTCATAACTTATTCATGTATTAGTTATGAAGGATTGCAACAAGTAACTAAACACCGTACTCGGTGTGCTAAATTTTGTACATACAAATAAAATGCTCCCAAACATTGTGCTAATTATGCTTGTTTAAATACATGAATAATTTCACTTTCTAACCAACATCCAAATGACCCCTTAGTTTGTGATTTTCTGATGGCACAAGATCAACCCAGTAAATGATCATTTTGGAGAGAGTTGTGATTGACAATAAAAATATGTTAGCTATAGAGAGCCCATATATCTTTATTTACCACTCACATATTTTATGTACGAAAAGCGACACAACAAGAAGTTGAACAACTGCAGGTATTAACGTATTGGTTGTAGTAGTATCTTCATATATTTCCACTAGGAAAAAATCATTAGTTTCTTCTACCTTTTCCTTACCCCTTTATATTCATCGCATGAAGAATGTTTTTAGGTATGACTTGTTTGTGAAGCACACGCTTATCATAATTCATTTGGTAAGACAACAAAAATTATGTCTTAGTCTCAAATTAATTTGCATATTGCTCCCCATTTTTGCCCACTTCATTTTCTCTACAATGCCCGTAGCGATACAAGTTCCTACTACAAGACCCCTCTCTCAAAGCTAGAACAGGAACTACCTTGTAATTGTAAAGAGGAAATAAGAAAAACAAAAAAATTTGATAACCCAAAGGAGTTCTGTGAGCTTTAATAGTAACATGATTGCATTGTCTCACAATAGTTAACAAAATACGATAAACTAAAGTTATATAGTAGTTGATCAACAGTAACAATTTCACCTTGTACATAGCAGTTATAATACGACAAGTTTTAGCAATAAGCAGCAAAACTTACACTAGATGTGTAGCTGCAAATTATAATACATTCTTGAACATCCAAAATAACTTAAGTCATACACCTGCGCTTCTGGGCAAGATTCACAAATTTTATGAGCATCAGTAGATGTAACTGGATTTGATGGATCAGTGGATGCCTGTCAAGGAAATGTGGCGGTAAATAAATGGGCGAAAGCTATCTCCAGAATAAATGGGACATACCGGTTAAAGAGTAATAGTAAGGGATGAGGGATAAAGAGGATATCGTTCATCCAATATTTATTTAGATACCAGTTAAACAGTAATTAGTGCAACAATGAGAAGATTGATTCTACTTTTGCATTTCCTTCATCCAATAATCATTTAAATAGTGGTCATCTTCCTCATATCCTATTATGAAGGGTGTCTTTTTGAACTTTAAAGTGTCAGTTTCCATGGATTTACTCAAATTACAGATCAGAAATTCCAGCCTAAACTTCTCATGTTCATAGGGAGTTAAACATGCAAAATTGTTGACAAGACACATGCAAACAGCCAAAAACTTTACATAATAAATAGTTTACCAAATAGTGGAGTGAAATATTCACGTACTTGTTCTAAACTCAGCAAATATGATAAACAAGATTATAGTAAGTACGTTTACATAAATATTTGCTAGCCTGCTACTATCTAATTACTGTGACTTAACCAGTCCGATAAGGTAGGACAGGTTAACATAACAGAGAAATTACAAGAAAACAAAATAATGATATAACACAAGTATGAATATCATAACTTCAAACAAAAGTTAGCTGGCAATAATAGAGCGGTTTCTTATCAACACAGCATTTACTGTAAGCACTAAACAGAAAAAACAGAAAAGGACCCAACAATCTCATCTCAGGTCACACAACATTAGGGGTCCAGAACAACAGTAAACAATCTACTACTTCACCAAAAAAAAAATCTACTTCTTGCATTTATTTGTTTCTCCATCAGTATATTCGTCATCGTCTCTTCCTAATCTTAACGTCATCATAAAAATGTTCATTCACCTAAGAGGTTTCCAAGTAATTCAAGATTCCAATGAGACATCAGAAAGTTCCTGATTATCTTCAGCCCCCAAGGCCTAGCTCAAGTGGCAAAAGGTGGAGGATTTGTGGCTTAGGTCGCAGGTTCAAGCCCCACACCATGCAAAGCAAAGCCTGGTATTTAAGTGGAGAAGGGTAGAGGGGCGGGCCCATTATCCACCAAGTTTAGAAGGCTGTGATTGGTCCAAAGGGCGGGTCACAGACGGATCAAAAAAAAGTTCCTGATTATCTTCAAAAAAGAAAATTAATCTACTTATCTATAAAACACCAAGGAAAATTATATTTCTTTATGAATCCTTCAGCCATCTATTCCTTTTGATTATTATTATTCACTATTATCCCCCATGAAGCTTTTAGCCAGACCAAAATTATGGTATAAAATTTGGATTTTATTATACATATTGCCAGCAAGTTCAAGTTTCTTTCAGAATGATATTAGAGAAAAAAAATTGTAATGGAGGAGGAATGTTGTACAGATATTATATAGGATCAAATGAAAGTATCTCAGGTTGGCTAATCTTTTTGGATGAGAAAGACCGGCTAGAGTTGGCAGAATTCAACGTCGTCTACAAAGATTTCAGTAGTTTGGTTTCTGGCGATTTCAATTTCAGTTCCAGCAGTTCTTTGGGTAATGAAGGATTAGGTAGAGGGACATTGGCAAGAACATGTTCAGCTACTACAACCCCCTCCTTCAGTTTCTATCATGTTTAATGCTATTTTTGGACCGATTTTCGTTATTCAACTTGCATAAATGTTTAAGAGAAACAATGAGAAAAGAGAGCAATAGTGCTCCAAAGAAAGAGTACAAGCAGAAAATGTTAGAAAACAACACCATTGTCTCTGCTAGTGAGTCCAGATGAGAGTATTCAATAACATCTCCCGCAATACCATCATCGACTTTTTAAGTCCTCTTTGGCCAAAAAAAGTGAGATTCAAAAAAGTAATTTAAACTCTAGCCGAATCGATCGAGAAAGGAAGAAATGGAAGTGCTTACAAGATGAAAATTGATGTAACATCGGTCACTAGGAATAAGGGTTCGCACTTTTAAATGATGACTTTAAGAAGATGATACATCAAAATGAAGAATCTCAAAAATTGCCTTGTAGCTTCTATTGTTTCAGGTAAGAGAGGCTAACGACAGTACTAGTAAATGCAGAATGACAGTCTGTTCAAGCATCTCTGACATATATTTATTCTTCCTGTGTGAAACTCATTTTAAAATTGGTGTAGAATCCAATCGACTTCCGGGGTAAAACAAGAAGATATAGAATAACAAAAAGAGTAAATATAAAAATATGACTCACTCATCATGGATTTGGTGTGACCCAGATTGGAGGACAAACACGACTGACAGAAATACCATCATAAAGCGGCTCGATACTTCCATCTGCTAAGTTGAACACCCCCATGTCCAAACCGCATCCTTTTTTAAAGAAGAGGTATGCACCAATCCAGTTATCTGTAAAATAAATACAGTTGGGCTTGATTCCTGGAAATTGAGAAGCTTGGATTGAAAGAGAAGCATTAGCACCCAAGAAAAAGGCTTGGTCTCCTAAATCCATGATTGGTATAGCCTTGCAGCTAGATAAATCGATTCGGAAAACTAGAAATTTTCTTGTCCTGTGCGTGCAAATCTTCTCCTCCTCATCATCTCCACCTGGGATGTGCGTCGGTGGAATACTCTCACGATCCCCTTTGACATACCGTGTATCAACAATCTGTTGCGCAACTACAAATAATGATCCTAGTGATTCTAGGATGTAATTCTTACCGTCAGTCCAAGGTGCAAGATGTGCTACACTATAAACTTTAGTGAGTTGAGTGCCAACAACATCACAAACTAGGACACAACGGCCAAAAGTGACGGCATAAAAGTGACCACTGAAATATACCACATCACTAATATGTCCAATGTGGGTGGGGATCCAAATCCTGGTCCACAACAAATCTCCTGGTCTCCATAAACTGAGGCGCTCGAATCTTCCCTCAATGACCATGAGAGCATAGTCCGACGTATGAGAAGGATTAGCTGACAGAACTGCTTTACGGATATAGGTCCACAGATCGTGAGTGTAGTTGCGTTCATAAAAATCAGTTGTGTTTTGATGTGGCAATTCAATTCTAACACCAGAGAAGGGTTGTAACAAACTAATCTCACCCTCATCCTTTCCAACTGTAACAAGCCATCCCTTTGACTCCACACATCTCTTCTCACTCGCTCCCGGGATCCTCTTTTTCAAAATCATCCCATTGTACAGACTGAAGAATTTTCTATATGTTCTATCATCCTCTTCCTCAGCTAACATTAGCCAGGGAGCCCTAGGCAAATTACTACTAAAATTATCCCTAGTGGCTACAGTGTACCACGATGTGCAAACAGTTCGAAAATTAAGGTAGTCCTCGATCAGATTTATACGTTTAGCAATTAAAACCAACAATTCAGGTTGAAGTTCCGACCAATCAACCATTGTTCTCATTTTCAATCCCTATCTAACAAAAGTATTTAACAAAATTGGGCAAATGATCCGAAAATACCTAATTTATGCGAATCAAACTCCCGATGAACATTGATATGATGGAGAATGAAGAAGCACACCGGAAATTCTTCGATCTACCAATTTTTTCAGCGGTGACGGCGATGAAATGGGCGGAGCTCTCCACGAACACTGATAAGAAGCACCACTGTGAAAGATGTGTTTGGCTCAAACAATTTTTTAGACTTTGTTTTTAGTTAGAGTAAATTGTTTAGGAAATTATCAAAATGGTCCTCTACTTATGAAAATGATAAAAAAAATGGTCCTATATTTAACATAAATGACTATAACTATTAACTTGGACCTTATTAATAATTTGTACCTATAAAATTCATGTATTTATCATTCATAATAAATATTGAAGGTGTTGGATCAAATAAAAAAAAAGGGTTAGACGATGGTATTGATGAATACAATTTGGGGTATATATAATGATATAACCAACAAAAACAATATGGAAGATTGTATTTATTTGTTTTAATTTATTTGTTATATTGTATCAAATAGTTTTTGTTTGTATCACTTGTATTCATTCTCTTTAATGATTGTATCAATGCATACAATCTACAATCTTGATAGATATAATCACGATCATTTGTATGATAATTTTATTTGATATAATGAAATTTATTAAAATGAGAGTATATATAATGATACAAATAAAAGAAATATTGTATAATCAATATAAAAATATAGTGATTGTCAAAAAATCATGTATTATAAAAGTACAATCAAAATATAAAAATATAACAAAGATCTGGGGAAATGTGAGGTATAAAATCAAGGCAAAATATATAGATTTGTCGAAAAAACTCTTCTTTCAAAAAATAAAAACAGTAAAAAAAATTCCAAGAGATGAGCGAGATGGGGAGAGAGGGTAACATATAGTCTAGACCTAACATTACCTATGTTGTGGGGTTGGTAAGTCAATATATGTATGCTCGTTATATGTAGTATATAGGATCTTGGGGTACCTCAAAGATTATCTTGGCGAAGGTATGATCTATACTAATTATGGCCATGTTGATTGGGATGGGTCAGAAGAGGACAAGAGATCAATTTCAGAATGAGTAAAGATCAATGAGAAAGCATCTTGTCAAAGATAAAAGAGTTCGATATCTGACCGAAGCAAAGTTCGTATTTTTCTTAAACCTCTTATTCTTAGCATGACAGATATTGAATAAAAGGACGAACGATGGGGTATTGATTTGAGGGAAGCATGAAGGAAGACACCGAAATGTCATTAAAAGAGATGATAGAACTGCTTGATGTTGTATACTAAATACAACAAGCCCAATTCACATCATTATGCTCAATAAGAAGATGACGGAAGCTAAAATCCGAAATAGGAAGTTATAAATTGTAATTTTTTAAAAGTGTAGTCATAAATTATTAATACAATGTATATGTTAGTCATAGCAGGTAGAATTAATCAACTCAGTCATTTATATGTACTACGTAATTGACCGTCCTCATCCTCAATGTATGGAAATAAATATTAATTTCTTTTTAATAAGTCCGTCAAGTAAAAAATTAACAAATAAATCAAAACGGAGGGAGTAAATCTTTTTGTTTATTGATTTTGATTAAAAAATATTTATACATATTAATTAAATTTTTTAATACAAAACGTTTGAGTGAAAGCCACCAAATCATTAGGCTGCGTTTGACCATAATTTTCCAAATATTTTTGGCAATTTATTTTTCGAAGGAGTTTACCATGCGTTTTTTGGCTATAGATTTTAAAAGAAATATTTGAATTAATTTGATAACGAACATAATTAATATGAATTTGAAAAAATAGGAAGAAAACAAAAGGAAAATATACAAAAAAAAAACTACTATTATAATTTGTAATTGGAAACTTTGAGAGTAAGTACACAAAAATTGTATATAATATGTATATACCGTATAAATTTTGAACAAGAAATTAGGGATGAAATTTAGTCCGAAACTGGATGTTTTTATAAAATATAAAATCTTGTGATAATTTTTAAATTTTAAAAATTCCCATATAAGTACTAGAATTTGGCTCGAATTCAAAAATTTTGTTTTTAGAACTTGAGAACTTCAGTTTTTCCCTCTATCTTTTTCAATGTTCTCATATAGATTTTGTGTTGTGTTCTTCGGAACACCACTTTGTATCGATTTGTTATGCTTCATGTCATATGGATTTATTTCCCTATGGATACTGGACTCAATCATTGAATGATAGAGATATTCTTTTTCTTCATCTTGATCATTAATGAACACTACATTACCAATTTAAACATCCATTTTCAGCTTGACTATTCTATGTATAACCCGTCCTTGTAGCAATATATATATATATATACACACACATTTCTGATTTATATTATTTGTTGAAACTGACTACTTAATTATTGTTTAGGGTGATATTATCTGCCACATGCATGTTCTGAATCCTCAGGTATGATATTTAATTATTTATTGTTGTTTCCTCAGACTTGTTTCTTCAGTTTGTTGATAATCAAATAAAATGTAACATGAAGTTGGTAGCCACTTCCCATAGAAATGTTACACAACAGTTCGTGCTTCGTTTGGTTTCCTTTCTTGTTTGCTAAAACTGGTCTCACCTTTTTAGGGAGGATGTTTGTAAGTTTTTTATTTAAAAAAAAAATTGAGACTTTAATGTTTGAGCAGTAACATTGTTGTTTGCCCAAGAAATGATGGCACATTGCGCGGTAGTAGCCAGTTCAAGGAAGTGAAACTAAGACAGGAATTTTCATGTTTTCTGTTACTGTATATCAATCTGGGAATTCCTCTAGCCAGAGTGATTGCCTTTGAGTGCGCATTTGGAAGCCCTGATGTGCCTTCTAAACATAAACAAAGTTCATCTCTTTACCATACTTGTAGTTTCTACAAGCTAGGATTTTTTCTAGTTTGTGAGATCGTGTGCATCCTTGGCCAGGGGCGGAATTAGATGCCCAGCTACGAATTGTACCCAATAATTTTTTCTCGAATAATGTAGTTGTGTTGAGAAATTTATTAATATTTCTATAAATTAAACAAGTAATTGATCATAAATTTTAAATAAGATTTTAAAGATTTATTTTTAATATTTGTTTGACCAAGAATTTAAGCATATTTTGGATATTAAATCTTGACCAAAAAATATAAGTAGATTTTAAAAATCAAATGTATTTTCAAGTTCTCAAAAATTAGCTAGGCTAAAGTTTTGATTTTTGATACTTTCCCTCATTGTTTTTTTTCTTAGTAAAATACACTTCCAAATGTAACTTTAAATTTTCAAGTTTTAACTTTTAACTACACGCGCTTCGCGCAAGAATTTAATATCACGGAATTTATAAAATAATACTTAAAACCTATCAGTCATTAAAACTAAAACACTATATTGTCTTACATACAAGATTACGTAGTAACAAACATTAATAATGTAAAGGAAAATGAAAATTATTATATCTTATCATTTATCCTTAATAACATAAGCATAAATTAATGACTGTAAAAATACATACAAGGATCTGTAACATAAGCAATGGTGTCAGTGAGCCACTCAACATGAGCAAAGTACACAAATATTTAATTGTGAAGAAGAAGAGTAGGTTTAGAATTTTCGTTAGTTTTAAAATGAGAGAAAATCTCACTATTTATAGACAACAAAGGGTAGTGTGAACAAATGTTTATTGTGCCTTATCGGAAATGTTACAACTATTTGGAAAAGTTGCAACCCTTCGGAAAGGTCACAACTTTTCATAAAAGCCACAACTCTTTATTAAAGTTGCAACTTTTCATAAAAGTTACAATTTTTCATAAAAGTCACAACTTTTCATAAAGTCACAACTTTCATAAATGTCGCAACTTTTCATAAATGTCGCAACTTTTCATGAAAGAGGAAAGCTAGTTTTGAAAATAAATAAATTAAAAGTGAATTCTTGTTTGTGGTGACGCACGTAGGCATGCCTAAGGTTCTCTTTTATATATGATATATGATTCTATGGCCAAAACAAAGGTTCAGGATTATTTCGATTCCAAGTTATATATGAAAGACTAAAATAACCATTTTTAATACATTAAATACTATATTGACTACATAATATAAATATTGGACTAAAATAATCACACACTCATACGTTAGGGACTATTTTGATCATTTTCTCAGCAATTTTGTCTATTTATAGTGAAGTCCAAATTAGAGATTAAGTTTTACCAAACACAACTCTCACAGTGTGCTGCTTCTCTGTGTTCACACATCTCCGGCTGAATCATCACTGTCCTCCGTGTTCCCCGGAAGCTCGATTCACTAAATTTAGGTATTTTCCGACCATTTATCCGTATCGTTCCGTTAGTTAAGGCTTAAAACTGAGAAAAATGTGTGATTGGTCCGAGCTTGACCGTGATCTTCTGGTTCTAGTTGTTAAGCGTGTTAATTTGATTGAAGATTATCTTAGTTTTGGTACTGTCTGCAAATCCTGGCACTCTGTGGCCACAAAGGATAATTTTAATAGCGATTTGCCTAGGGTTCCATGGCTAATGCTAGCCGAGGAAGAGGATGATGACACATGTAGGAAATTCTTCAGTCTAGAAAATGGGATGATTCTGAAAAAGAGTATCCCTGGAGCTAGGGGAAAAAGGTGTGTTGAGTCCATGGGATGGCTTGTAACAGCCCCAATAGGCCAGAATGAATTCACTCTGTTGCATCCATTTTCTGGTGTTGAAATCCAGCTGCCAGATCAAATTCTATACCCAAAGCCACATCCGACAAATAATGAATATTTTGGACCCGTCACTTTCCCACCAGCTATCCCTATCCATAAAGCAGTTTTGTCAGCTAATCCTTCTCATACATCTGACTACATTCTAATGGTCATTCAGGGAGACTTCAGTTTCCTCAATCTATGGAGACCAGGTGATTTGTCATGGACCAGACTATCGGCCTACAATGGACAAATTCTTGATGTAGTATATTTCAATGGCAAATTTTATTCAGTCGATTATAAGGGTTGTATCTATGTTTGTGATGTCTCTGGCTCTGAAATCGGTGAAAATCATCCCATAGCGCAGCTAAATCAACGTATTGATGGTATTTATTACATCCTAGAATCACTAGGATCGTTATTTGTAGTTGTGCAACAATTTGTTGGTTTATCGTACAAGTATG